TGGGTGTCGCATACCCATCGGGTCACGAGCAGCAGCAGCAACTCGGCTGGCTGTGCACTCTGTGCAGCGCACGCACATCCACTGTGACCCGGAGCAGGGTGTGCTGATGGTGTCAGCCGCCAGGGTGAGCATGAGAAGGTGGCCAGGAGCTTATGCTCCACCCCGTCAGACAGACGGGCTTACACACGGTAAACAAAAAACTCTGATTCCGAGACGCCAAAAAAGGCGGATTTTAATTTTTGAAGCCGAAACATGTTTTTCAGCTTATTTTATCAGTATCGGGCAAACCCGCAACCCATTTCGAGCGTTTTCTGCCTGTTTCGCGTCGAGCGTTTCGAAACCGGCGCGCTCAGTCCCGTTTCTGTCGGGCCGTGTCGTGATCGGAGCCTGCCGCCCCGAAGCGGGGAGGACTGGCTCGATTTTGAGAGTCGCGCCCACTCTTTCAGGTTGTAGGGTGTTTCTTTTCATCTTTGGCTCAGCCGGGCAGCTTTGTATGAGTTCAGAGCGAACATGTTGTTTAACTTATTTTAGACTGAATTTTGGTTCACGAAAAGAAGAAAGGTATTACAAGTCGTTGTTGCTGGAAGGCGGTCCCCCCGTCTTTCCCGCTCGTTTTCACTTCGAACGCCATCAGTGTGGAATTGTCTCTTTGATTTGGATGTTTTTCGTGCCGCCCGGTTAGTATAAGTCTTCTGTATTTTTGTGTAATTCAATTGTTGTGGTGAAATTACTGCTACTTTTGTGAGCTTCGTGTTTTTACTTTCCCTTCCTTATTGTTAGTGTTGATGTTCTTTGATTGTTGTACTTATTTCTCCTTTTTTGGGGTTACAGGTGCCTATAACCCCACATTGCATCCTTTGAGGATTCCGAACCGAACGACATTTTATTTGAGGTAAGATGTCTAACAATCCCCCTGCAAAACGTCTCCGATCGTCCGGTCCACTCGTAAATCATCGACCACCTGTGGAGTGTATTGAAGAAGGCGACTCTGCTGATGAAGATGACTTGGAGCCTGATGCTGGAAATGATCATGAGAGTGACTTTAGTGATGGTGAACTTGATGTGTCATATGAGCCCCATGTAACCACAAGATCCTCAAGTGCAAGTGACAGTGCTCCTGGTGTGTCGAGTTCAAGTGGAAACGTTCGAACTGCATCTAAATCATGTGATGTTAATACTGTAGCCGGCAACTTTGTGCTTAGCTTGCATGAGAAGTGTTTCGTGTCTCAGAGTGATAGGAAAGAAGTTCTGGATGACGCAAAACTTCTGGTCAAGGAAGGCATTAAGAAATTTGCTGAGAAAGTTGACTCAGCGTTGAAATCTCAAGGTAGCAAGGTCAGGCTTAACGATATACTGAATGTTGAGAAGTACGCCTCATCAACATGCTATGATACTTTCAAAAATCTGGAAACAAAATCACAACAAGCGAAATTTTTCAAAGATACAATTGGAGTGACAGACGTGAAGAGGATCCCGCTGGGGAAAGTTCTACTTAGAGGCCGTAAAGGCGGAGTGACTAAAACCAAAGTCATTGACCAGGAGTTAATCTATGTGCCACTAGAAGAAACCGTCGATAAAATGATAAACCACCCAGACTATAAGTTCTTTGTTGAGAACACTCAAAGTGGCACGTGCAACTCTGAGTATTTAGACTGCTACATGAAAGGATCCCTCGCCAAAGAGAATAAAATTTTAAGAGAACACCCTGATGCTCTTCGCTTTATATTGTATTATGATGATGTTGAAGTTCTCTCCCCTCTCAAGAGCAGAGCTGGAAAGCAAAAGGTTGGAGCATTTTACATTTTTCTTGACAATATACCTTTGCAATACAGGTCTTGTCTGAAGGTAATTTGTTTGCTCGGGCTTGTTAATGCCAACCTCATTAAAGGGAAGTATTATGGAATGGATGCTGCACTTGAGGCAATTGTTGACATTCTAAAAAAATTTGAAGATGGTATACAGCTACCCAGTGGTACTAAAGTGTATGGCACATTAATTGCTGTCATTGGTGACAACTTGGGACAGCACTGCATGGGTGGTTTTAAAGAAGGATTTACTGCTACACGATGCTGCAGAATATGTATGGCAAGATTTGAATCAGAGATAAAAACAATGACTAAAGAAGATGAGAAACTCCTTAGAACCAAAGAAGACTACCGGCAGCAAATTGATAAGATTCAGACTTCAAGAGGGAAAAATGAGAAGTTCAGCACGGAGTACGGTTTAAATAGGGAGTCATGTTTAAATAAATTGGATACATTTCACGTTCTTGAAAATTTTCCATATGACGGGATGCATTGCCTGTTAGAAGGGGCCTTAAGTTTGGCTGTGAAGAAAGTGTTAAAACACTACCTCTATGATGTCAAGGAAAAGCCTTTCACTTTGGACTGGCTAAATCAGGCAATATTAAGTTTTGATTTTGATTATTCTGAGACAAGAGATAAAGCATCAGAACTGAAAGAAGACTTCATTAAGGATGATTCTGTTTCTCTGCATCAGTCAGCCGCTCAACTTTGGTTACTTGCCACAATTTTGCCTCTTATTCTGAGTCCATTAATTGACTGCGAGGATGTCCACTGGACAAACTACCTTGACATGTTAGAGATATGCCGTATTGTGTTCACAGTGAAAATTCCATTGTGGTTGGTAACGTATCTTCAAGACTTGATTGACGGGTACCTGTCAAAATTTATTTCACTTTATGGAAATCTGATTCCCAAGCAACATTTTTTAATACATTTTCCAAGTCAAATTTTAAAATTTGGAAGCCTTATGAATTACATGTGTTTAAGATGTGAAGCTAATCACAAATACTATAAGAGGTTAATTTCTGTTTTGACTGCATACAGAAATATCCCCCTCTTCCTTGCCCGACGAGACCAACTTCACCAAGCTTATCTTTGGAAGAAAACAATGAGGCATGAATCGACATGTGGACCCCACAAATCAGTCAGGCTAGAGTTTGCTTACTATGGAAACTTAGTTCAAGCACCTGGCAATGAACTTGTAGAATCATCATGGTTGGACTTAAATGGAGTGAAATTTAAACCTGAACACTGTTATGTTGTTGTGGGACTGAAAGACTACCTACCAGTGTTTGCTTTTGTGAAGACTATCATTGTGCACCCTCAAGTTGCCTTTGTCTGTCAAGATGTGAAGACAGTTGGTCGCAATCTCCATGCTGGATGCTTCATTGTTCCACTCACTAATGGAATATCTGTACATAGACCAGAAGATATGCTAGTCCATTCAGTTTTCCATGCCCACAGTTTTGGGAACTACTCTGCTATTGTTTCCAAGTCATGTCTAGGAGGACAGCCATAATGTTGACATTTTCATGCATATTTAGTTTTAGTTTTAAGTAACTTCATATATCTTTTAAAAAAATACTTTGACTGTATTTAATTTAATACTTTTTTTTTGTTCTTTAATTTTTTGAAATGTCCAATTGCTTGTATGTTTTGTATTTTTACTTTTGATGTGTGTTAAACTCTTTGTATTAGTGACATTCTATTAGCATAACAAACTTAAGTGCTGGTCAATTTCAAAACCAATGTAATTGTTGGGAGCTGAACATAATTATTGGTACTGTTTTGATATTTTTTTTTTATATTTGTGGGTTATAACAGATTTTGAGTGAGACTGCATGTGTGACCATGAAAGACACAAGAGGCGTTGAAAGAGGGGCGTGCAAAAACTGTCCTGAGTGTGAAGCATATGAAATAGAGGAGAATGCTGTCAGGTCTAACTGCAACTATTGTAACTGTCCAGCAACAGGTCACCATGCTATTGGTAAGATTCAAAAGTCAATAATTATCCAAAATTTGCTGTCTCCTATAACACTAATGAAATCTACTATGTTGGTGTGTATTTTATAAAATAGTATATTTTCTCTTGTAGAAGCTTCACAGCCCACAACTGCAAGCAACTCAAGAGAATCGACCACTCCAAACTCCTCGGTGGTGACCCTAACACCTGTCAGTGCTTCTACCCCTGCTGTAAGTTTGTTATCCATATAAACTATTTTGATTTAAAAAAAAATGAATATGTAATGATCTATATATTGATTGAAAAATACCTAACTAATCTCTGCTTATTTTCAGGTGCCTGTGCGTTCCAGCAGCGTTATCACATTAGATGTAGATAATGTGACAGACCCATTTCTACAAAGTTTGTTGGTTCAGCAAACTTCTACTGCTAATGAGGTATTTTTTGGTACTAGGATCACCACTGTCAAAATATTTTTATTTTTGTGCCAGTAATTTTATTTTTCTTATCTTTACAGCCAAACACAGATGAGATATTTCTCCCTATCAAATTGCCTCGAAAGTGTGAACTTGCTTTGGAGAAAAGGGATATTGACTACAAAGTCAAGTCTGGGATTGTGAGAGAGGTGGTCAGCAACCTAATGGGTCACGACCAACTTACTCCAAAATGTTTAGAAAAGGCAGCGAAAAAGATGGTGACTAAGTGGTCCCCGCTCAAAGATGTAAATGACCCTAACAATGTGAGTTTATTGTTGTATAATTCTGAATAGCACTAAGCCATGTGTTGCAAGCCTAAAATATTTACTAATTTCTGCAGGAGGGGCTTCTGTGCATGTTAAGGAAAAGAAGGGATAGATTAAATGGGACTGGAAGTGACCGTGCATCAACAAGCAGTAATACTGAAATGACTGCGCTTGATGCGAAACAAGAAATGTATGAGAAATGGTCTACCAACCACCGAACAGCTGCAGCCCACAAACATTTAATGGTAGTTGCCAGACCATTAAGAAAAGTAGAGTCCAAAAAACTACCTGGTCTTCAACTTCTCAAAGCATACCCAGCTTTAGGCATCAATGATGTGGTGAGTATTAAACCATAGTCATACTTGGTTCTAAATTGTGCTTTCCTTTCCTATATTTGTGCTCAAAACCTGTTCGCTTTAAAATACTGCAACCAAAATTCTTATATTGCAAAGTCTAGTCATTTCTAACATTTAAACCATAATTGCAATTTTAATTTGTACTGAAGAGTGTAATTGGATAATTACTTACAAATCTTGTAATGCATCAGTCAGAAGACGAAGGAAAAGTAACCCGATATTCAATGTGACTGTAAGTGGGTGCTGTGTTTCAGCTTCTTCAAGAATTCTATGCAGAGATGGATATTGATGAGGATAAGGCAAGGGAAAACTGGAGGAAAACAATGGAACCCCTAAAACAATACCACCAGGTTGAAAAGAAATTGCCTTTTCTTGGAGGAACCTTGGGTGAGTTACAATATAGTTACTGGTCTGTCACCTTTAACCAAATTCACACTACTATTACACTTCTTGTTTGCTTACAGATGAAGAAACTTTATGGATTTTGGAAAATATGCATCTATACAACATTTGGTTTAAGGAGACAAATCGAGAAAAAAGAACTGCACGAGTTCTGGAATTGTTCCCTGTGAGTACATTTATTTTAAAGACAGATGTGATCCTGAGAGATATGTTTTGCTAATCACAATGTGTCATTAAAATATGGTTCGTACCCCAAGAATAATTATTTAAATTTGATTCATCTTTATCTTAATCTGTCTATGAAAATCTGCTTGCTGTTGATTATCAAAGCAAAAAGACTTAAACCTTGTTTGTACTGTGAGCGTAACTTAGTAATCCTAAATTATACATTCCAGGAAAATACTCCACCAGCAGAGACCCAGCCAAAACCCACTGATGCACCAAGGCTCATTGGAATAGGTAGTCAATATGATGGCACGCTATCCCTCACCAGCTTCATTGATTCTGAACCAGTTTTCTCTGAAGAGAACCCTTTTAAAGCTATGCTACTGCTCCTTGCTATCTATTTTGTGGTGGGCATCAAGTGGCCTCCACTCGTTCGCCTCCCTCTTATTTTTCTTACCTGTGCCATAGGTTGTCTCTCAAAGGTTCGTTCAGATGTTGTCAGGAACCAGAAGTTTGTAACTTTTTTACGGCAAATGAAAGCCTATGAATAAGTTCAACTGATTGTGTGTTGTGTGTGTATTTCAAATTCTTTTATTTTTTTGCCTTCACGTGAAGACAAATTCTTTAGAAGAAAAAGCATTTTGATCTCTTTTTATTTTTTGAATTTTTGTTAAACACATCTTATGTACATGGACATATGCACAGATGCTGTTTTCATTATGTTGAACTAAAATTTTAAGTTACCACAGCCATGTTGTATTTATAGCAGGTTTGGTTTTTAAATTGGACCCTTCTGTAGAACTGTTTGAATGTAGAGTTCAGCTCTAATGAGTATGAAGTACAATTGTAGTACAAATAATGAAAACAAATTACATTTCTTTTGTTAACTGCAACTCTTTGACCATTATTTTTGGAAAATTTGCCCTATTTCTAATAATAATTAATAGTGAAGTGTCTGTTGGAGTATTACAATCAATGGTTAAGTTTGTGGTGTCTCAAGAAAGGAAAAGCTAACAGGAAAAATTACAACAGCTACTACATACTAAACATTACTTTATTTTCTTTCTTTTCTTATTGACAGAAAATAACACAAACACAGATTGGGTCTTGTGAAAATTCTTCATTGCATGTTGTTTCCTTTCAATGTCTATTGGCCACAGAGAGTCATCCCCCCCCAAAAAAAAAACGTACAATGGTGGTATGACATATTCTGAACTACTTAATGCTTTGGATTTCAATTCAATTCTACTAATTTCTGGTGTCACTTCATAATTAGATAGACCAACACCTCTGGAAATGTAATTCTCAAACATTTCCGAAGTTTAACAGCGTCCAAACGCTATAATGAATTTCAATTGAGTTTCAATGCTAGAACTTAAATTTACCATCTCAAAAGCAGTGGATGGACGAGGGCAATGTAAGGCAATAGTATTTGAGGTGGATTTTAGCCTGAAAAGTTGAGTTTTATGGTAATCTATGCAAGTGAAAGAAAAGAA